ATTCAACCAAATTTAAAAAGAATACGCAATAAAATCAAATATATTTAATTTATTTGTACAAAAACTTGAAAAATCAAATCAAATGAAACAAAGACAAAACTTCTAATACATGATCTATAAGAACATAAAACGGAATGAGTATATAATCATATATATGAAAGGAGAAAGAACCCTCTCCTTCTATGTGACATGTGTCCCTTTTTAAGTTTTTCTCTTAAAATATTAAAACTCAAATTAAACTATCAAAATAAAACATTCGTCTATTCATCTTCTCTACTGGAATGCTTCATCTCTTTTTCTATGTTTGGTGCATTGAATTTATTTGGTTTTTTATGTCCAAAATTGATGACAAGCTAGATCACTATATAATAGTTGGATATAAGCTTTTGATGCTTTGTAGCTAACAATTTGGCTCTTCTCTGATAAACTTGCTCATGCAATCCTCACCGTGAGCAAGTGGAGATATATCCAACGATGGAAGATGATATTTGATCAAGGATACATTAAAGAAGACTCGACGAAAGTGAAATTTTGTCGATAATCTTATACATCCTCATTTTCGATTAGGATCTCAATGATCTAAGCACTTATAGAAGACATGGTTTTCCGAGTCTTAAAAACATGGGTTTTGATTATTATAAAATCTTGAGGGTTTTACATGAATGCAATGGACACCTTCAATGGAAGAACCATCATGTCAAAGGAGAAGCCAAAAAGATGCAAGTGTAGAGGAACTTGAATAACATTGTCGTCAATGTTGTTTTTCCGCGCTCATGAGTTATCTCTCACCTTTTTTATTGTCTTGGAAAAAATTATTTAACCGTTAAGAAAAGTAAAATGGATTGGATCGAGAAAGAAGACATTGGCAAAGGAGGAGAGTAAGTGTTACTTGATCTTCGTTGTATAAGTGCTACTTGCAATTACCATCAGCAAGTTTCTTTCAGTTATTTCTCTGGTTTTAATTAGTTCTTTAAGACTTGAAAATGCAACACTCAAGCTCCGCAAAAGTTTAGATCATGCTTATATTTGTTTTTTTTGCTGCAACATCTGCAAAAATAATAATTCATTATTATCTTTCAAGTTACTGAGATTTATCATGTACTATTTTCATGCATTTTTTAAATTTAGGTGTACAAGAACAAACTTTCTTCTCAACGGAATGTTCATATATCTGAAAAATTAGAAAAAAGCATTTTATAAGAAAGAAAAGCAGCATATATGCATATATGAAAAAGAAAACTCGCGCATATGCGTGGATATTGGCCTAGTGTACTTGAAACTCAAAGAGCATTGACACATACTCAAGTTCGAGCTGCACTAGAAACATGACACATCGCAGGTTTTAGAGTGGTTAAGGTCCCTTGAATATGAATATCCTAGTTATATTATCTTTGTTCATTTTTATAAGATGTTTTAGAGGTTTTTTTTAGTTTATACTAGCTGAATACCCGCGCATACGGATGCGACTGGAAATCCAACCAAGTAGTGAGATTGGTCTCCGAATGATTCTCTCAAGAATATGGTGTTGACTGAGTTGGTGTTAGCACAA